TAGATTTTGTTGTTGAATTGGTTGTTGATGTTGTGCATCTATTGGTTGTGGAGAAAAATTTCTATGATTTGTACGTGTTCTCTGTATTCCTTGTCTACGATATTCTTGAGTATTTTGTGCAAATATATCTGGTTGTAAGAAATCATCATCTGAGGATAAATAATCCATTTGATAAGATGTCTGTTTTTTATTTTTATTTTGTTGAAAAAATGGGTAATTTTCACTGTGATCCTGTGGAGGATTTGTTTGGAAATTTATTGAATTAGGTTGGGTCATTGGGTTATCCCAATTTCGAGATCTTGTATATTGGTTAAAATTTCTTTGTGGTTGGTTATATGTTTTTGATGAATGTGTATAATTATAATTATGGTCTGCAAAGTTGTTTCTAGTGAATGTTTTGCGTGTTTTTGATGGTATTGTCATGGGTCTGTATGTTTGGTAATCCATATGTGAACATTTAGGGGCAACCGAAGGTTTAACGGTTGATTGTAAGGTTACCTGTGTTTGTGAAGGATTTGTATTTCTTGGTGTTGTTAAATTTGGGCGTATTGGTGAAATACTTTGTTGTGTAGTTGTTGTGTGTACAATTTCTTCATTTATGAAGTGTGATGGTGTCTGGATATCTTGTTGAGTAAGATTCCTAGTTCCATTGAGGTTTTCATTGTGTATGACTGTAGAGTTTAAACTATTATTTTGTGTATCGGGCAAAAATGTATTATAGTTTAATGGTGTTGCATCAATGGTTAATGGTATTACTTTTACATAATCTCTTATGTAAGATATCGTACTTATTGCTTGACTTGAGATTGATTGTGGGAAGCTTATAAATGCGGGATGAGACCATTCGGGGTCCCAAACATAATCTGATTGTTCTGTCATAGCGGTATCATCGTTCGAGTTTTGGGGTCTAAAATTTTTTCTTGCTTGTGCAATTAAATCAATATTGTGTGTGAAATAATCTATTATGAACCATGCCAAAATTTTTTGTAGATCGTGTTTTGTATGTTGTGAAACGTCGTCTTTCGTGAAATTTTCTTTAATGATGTTTAAATAACTAGAGAGTAGTGTGATTTCATGTCGTACTCTTAAATGTTTAGATGTTTCTGTCGGTGAGACATTTGTTATTGGGATTTCGTTTTCTAATATCGAAATATAACTATATATTATTGCGAAAACTTCATTGGTGAATATGGAGTTTGCTCTTTGTGAGTTATGATATTGGATGCTTTTTATATATTCTGAAAAAACTTTTGAAAATTCTAAATCAAGATCGTCTGTTTGAATTGTATATTTTCTATTATTATGGTTTGGTGAGGTGAATTCTATGGAGTAGATTCCATACTGTTGTGTTATGTTGCATATATCTTTTAAGTAGTGGTCTATGATTTGTCTTTTGATTTTTACATCTGGGAACTCTGTTTTACATGGACTGATTCCGGGTTCAAATAAATTTACGAGTAAATTTTGACAAAATATGTGTTGTCCTCTATCAGTATCTGCATCTACTATAAAAGGAAAGATTTCATCATCATCTGGACTTTCTTCACCTGGGGTGTGCGTTGAGCTCATTTTTTCGTTCGATGACTGTTAATATGTAATTATTAATGTGTCGAATTGGTTGATTCCAATTGTATAAATGTACTGGTTTGTGTTTATACTGCTTTTTTATTCTTCTTTTTCCTCTTTTTGATGAATTTGAAGTTGTTTCTGAGTCAGAAAAATATAATTGATCGTGAAGTGGGTAATTTTTATCTATTGATTCTTTTAGTTTGTAAAGTTCGTCTAAACTGTTGGTTTCTGATTCTGAAAATGCGTTTCGATTTTTTGAAAATCTTTTTCGTGTTATTTGTCTTTGTTTCGTTATTATTTTTCTTTTTAGTGTTTGTCGTTTTGTTCGAATGTATCCAACTGTTTGTGTATGAGGTGTGATTACAAGGTCGTATTTTTTGTTATCTATTTCACAATTGTGTAAAACGATTGTTTGTTTATTTCCTAGGTTTTTAAATGACATAAGGTTTAGGATGACGGATGCAAAAGGTTGTTAAATGGTTTCTATTTTCCTAAACTGTTAGTTCTTACGATTTTTTGGTTAGCTTAACCTGGGTCTATTTGTTCAGGGTTGGAGAGAAAAGTATATCGATTCCGAAGAATGATTTTTTACTTTCTCGTGGCTAGTATAAGTTAAGGTGTTAACTTACTTAATCTTACTTAGGGGTAGTGATTGTGTTCAAGGGTTGGAGAATAGTAAATCGATCCACAAGGTTCAGGTATAATTAGAACGCGAGTAGTTCGTTAGATACTATTTTAAACTTACTAAGTCTAAGATTTATCCTGGGTCTGGTAAGAGGGGGGGTCAAGTGAAGGATGAATAACCGAAGTTCTTCACTATTTATCCTAATTTGAATGATTAGTTTTGTTTAAAAATTTCTATTAGTCTTAGGTCTTTAGAAAGGGTTGGGTAGTGAATCGACGTTTGAGGTCGTTAGACACTAATTAAGTGGGTTGGGGAGAACAAAGTTGTTCTGTTTGATCCAAGGATAAGCCTTGATGATCAATTTTTGAAATTTAATTAAGTAGAAAATGATTTAAGATCCAAGGATAAGCCTTGATGATCTGGTTTTAAAATTAAGTGAATTTAAGTTTTAATAAAATTTTAAATGTGTGTAAAGGAAAGATTTAGTGTTTTGATGATATTAGTGGGTTTATGATTGCTGTTATGTTTTAGGTGATGGAGCTGGAACAACAGGATGATTTATGATTACTAACCATTTATTGTCATGCTACTAATTTTTATTTTTTATTTTTCAATAAATATTTTTCAAACATGTTTTGTATATTACTGCAGAGTTTTAGGAAAACGATCTTAGATCTTTTTATCAATCGTTATTGTATATTAATAATTTTGTTTAGCGCCTGAAATGATTTTGAAGATTAACTTCAAGGTTTTATGTTTGCAAATGAAAATCTAAATTCATTGCCAGTAGTATTCTAAATATAAAAGTTTGTTCTGGTTTTTGCCTAACTATCATATAGCTATATGGCAAGTTTCTACTTTGTCGTATGTCGTCTCTGGTTCGAGGTCTTCTTCCAATTCCAGGTAGTTCTGTTATGGTTCGGAATATTGGCTCTGATCTATTGAGTCGTAGAGACATTTCGATTAAATTATTGTCGTATAACATTTTGTAAATGTTTTTGTCTAATTTCTAATCTATTTTGGTTAATTCTAAGCTATTAAGGTCTTGTTCGAGACTTATGGTCGCACCAGATGAGTTATGACCGAGTTGGTTAACTCATAGAGTAATTTCGGATAGGGTACACCGTCTGCTCGTCACGCTATCTTATTTTCGGCCGGATAGATTCGTGCAACTTCTTAGTCTAATACCGATCCTAATCTTACTCTTATACTATCTAGTCTCAGGTTGTTTAACTAGTCTCTGCTAGGCTCAATAGATCTAGGGTATACTGGTTTATTGCGGCTGCTGAAGTGCTCGGGAGAGTCCAACTAATTTCTAAGTTAAATTCAAATCTCTCTGGTGCTGAAATTACAAGTAACTTCAGCACTTACAAATAAGTGGGTTGTTAGTTAGATGGATCATGATTGGTTAATATTAAATACTTTACATTGGTAAAATATCTAATTTATCCAATCATAAAATGTAGTTTAGATCAGGTTCCAATCATAAAAATATCATACATTTTGCGAAAAGGGTGCCATCGAACTTTCGAAGAGCTTTTTTTTGCTTTGGCATAAGTTTTGGTGTATTGTCCTAAATAAAAAAAGTGTGAAAAAATGCGATTCCAACAATTTTCATGTATGCAAAAAATTTTCCTAGTTATTTTGGAATTCTCCAAAAAAAATTTTGTTTTTTTTTCAGCCACAAATCGAACTAAGTCTTGAGTGCACTAACATTGAGTTTCTTCTTTTTGGTAATTAACTTATTTCAAAAACGCTAAAAACTCTTTTTTATGGCATTTGTATGTATGCCTTGATCAATGTCTGATAATTTAAAAATTCAACTTTTAAAAGTAAGCATCGTTGAAAATGTTTGCTAAAAGTTAAAAGTTTGATACTTTCTTTAGTTTATCAATGTAAGACTGAATAAAGACTTTTCAGGCTATAAGCAATGCTTTTTTAAGGCAAAACGGTCAAACCTTTGGTCACTTTACTTTGAGTAAAGAAGGTTTTTTTCACTTCTGTTCAGTTACGAAAACCACCAAAAAATTTTGAGAAAAAGAAAAACGTAAAAGTTCAAAATTTTTTAGTTTAAAGAAAAGTGCTAGTCTGACAATTTCCATATATGAAAAATCACTAATCAAAGACCTTTCATGCAATTTTCTGTACTAGTGGAAATGCATGAAAAGTGTATGGCTAGCATTTTTCCATGAAAGAAAATTTTATGGTTGGACCTTTTCCCCATAAAACTTTTTTATGATTAGCATTTTTGGTGAATACGGGTTAATGTAAGACAATAACCATTATGCGAGTTGTTCAAACTAAAGTGGATTAGCTTTTTTGAGTAAATAAAAATTAGCAAAAAATGAGAAAAAAATCATGAGAAACAGAAAGTTGCAAGTCAAAAATTGAAAGTAAAACAAGTTTTTTCTAAGCTAAAGTAAACCTCGCTTTATTTGATGTTAAGTCTCAAGCCAAAAGCAACTGTTATCTTTAGAAAGTACCGTTTAGAATTGTGAACTTTCTGAAAAATTTACATAAAAAATGATTATATTCCAATATAGTTGATTATAATCTATTGGCATCAATTTTGGGGACAACAGAATCAAGTCGATTTAATTTTTTTCATCGAAAGCATTTATCAGAAACATTTAACGTTTGTTGTTCAACAAACCCATTCCAAGTGTGAGCCTTTCATCTAATAAGAAATAAAACTAAAAAATAATGTGATCTATAAATATTAACTAGAAGAACTAAATTTAATTTTAAAGCATTGAAGATTAACTTTTCAAGAATAAAAGAGCAAAAAACTAAAAGATAAGGTGTGTAAGTTTTTATAAAACTCACAGTTTGGCCAGTTTTTTTATTCTTGTTTTTATAATTTGACTTTTTTCTCGTCTTTTTGAAAATTTGATGTTTTGAAAGTTTGAACTATAAGAATCGACAAAAGTGTCTAGGTCTCCTTCGTGAAGGTTTATGTTTTTCGTTGAAATGCAGCTCGATAGCAGTGTTCAACACGTGGTTCACATTATACCCGGAACTAGCAGAGCACTCCACGTATCTGGCACAATTGCACTTTTTAGCCAAACTGGATCCCTCTTTGTGGGTTATGAAGGTTCCCTCTGGAAGCCCGTGGATTCTAAGGTCACTTTTGGTTCCCAGTAGTACCTTAAGAGTGGCGAATTCAAGCAGGCATTTTGTTTACGACTAAAAAGTGTCCTCGGAACTTTCTCAAATTTGATAATTTATAACATTTTTATAATTCTTTTTAGTTTGCTTCAAGCATTTTACTTCAAAACATCCACGCATCTCATCTATCTCCTTTTTTAAAAGATTTCAAAATGTAAAATGGCATTTAAAGTTTGTATTAAAAACTAAAAAAATTCGAACCTTAATATTTCGAATGAATAATTTTTAGATTTAACGAGCAGAAGCGTTGTTTGTATTTAATTTTCCAGAAAGCGCTTTAGACGATTTGGTGCCCATTTGGCGGTTTTTGCGCAATTGCTCATAACTACATAATACTAAAAACAATTCGGGCAGTTCCATTGTGAGTAGTTACTAAAATGAATTTACAAACCACGCCGAAAACTTTACTGCCTGGGGGATCATCATGGAATCTAAAGGTCCGTTCACGGGTTTCTACGAATGTTCACATGTTTCAGCTCTTTATACCATTCACGATTAGCGGCGCAAGAGAGTGGATTGCGTAAGGGGCTGACTAAACGCATATTTCGATTTTACCGCTGTAATTTAACCTTGTTTCTAATTTAACCCCAATTCAAGAAATCTGATGCAAGCACCCCCTAAGCTAACCCAAAACGTAGGCCTGAAATGTTTTAACGTTCGCTGGCCGCTTTAAGCTGTGCCTTAAAAACCGTCATCCCCGCACTGGAGTTTCATGGATAAAAATGGATTATATTGTCATTTTATAGTCAGTAAAATCCATAAAATTACAAAAGTAATCGATTAGAATCCATTATAAATGCATTTTAATCATAATATTTTTATGTCAATATAATCCATTATAATAGATTATAATCGATTATAATGGATTTTTAGAGGTGTTTGTGAATTTTGTAAATTTTGCAAGTTATCTCACTTCCAGTTTAGAGCAGTTGCCACAGATTACGTTTCATAAACTTAAGTTTTTCAAATAAGTTTTTATACATTTAAATTTCTCTACTTTTGCAATTTGACAGTTTAACATTTTATTTAACAGTTATTTTTCACAATCGTCGGCAGCGTAAAAAATTACTATTTGCCCACTACGCCCCCTCCCCCACCCACTACTCCTGGGACACACATAAAGTGATCCATCACAACTTCTAACAACAACCTCTTCCCCCCCCCCCCTCCTGTTTAGGCCACCGCCGCCGTGTGTGTGTGTGTGGGGGGGGGGGGGTTGCAGGTACCTGGACTGTGTATATACACCTGGACGCTCAAGTAGTGGGGTTAAACAGGGGCGGGGGGGTGGTTGTGGTGGGTAAAATAAGGAGGAATAAATTAGGGGTGGGATGGTAAACTTGGAGTGGGTGCGGTAGGGAGTGGGTCAATTTTCATGGATTTTTGTGGCCTAAAAAATCGATTATATTGTCAAAACAATCGATTATAATGGATTTTAAAATATTGAATATAATCTATTATAATCCATCAAAAATCCATTTTCAGGGTTGGATGGGTTTTTTTGGCGAGATAGTCCATTATAATAGATTATTTTCCACCAAAACTCCTGTGCGGATCGGGTCATTCTGCGATTTTTGCACACTAACTGACTACTTGTGTGTTCAGCTTTGGTTTCATGCATGCGATTTTTGTATTTTGATTTGGAAGAGCTCCCGGGTTGAATTAGCATTGCAAATACTTTAGAAAAAAGGTTACTAGGTGCAAATACTACGTTGCTGAAACTTAAACATAGAAGTTTGTAGTTGCAAATAAACAAAACTGAAAAGGAAATCTCTAAAACTATAAAGGAAACATTTTCTTTACAATTTTAGAGATTTTCTTTTCAATTCTGATTAACTTTTAACAGCAAACTTCCATGTTTGTGTTTGAACTACGTAAGATTTGCACCTAGTAACCTTTTTCTACGCGCAACTATTTACCAAAAAGACATATTGAGGGAACTTGAGTCGTATCAGGGGCGGATCTAGGATTTTCTCGAGGGGGGGGGGGGGGCGATTATCAAAAATTTTTGAAAATTTTGTCGACCTTTTTTTTAGATCGACCAAATTGATTTTCCTAGCTCTCCCAAAGCACTAAAAAGACCCTGTTTTGGTCAAATTTCTGCGCCGCAGGCACAATTTTGAAAAACAGGCCAAAAAGCGTTTTTAGGCACTTTTTAGAAAATTTTTACTAAAAAAATTGCGTGTTTTTGGTGCGCGCTCCCCCCTCAAAATTAGTATAAATTGGCGCTCTAGGAAAATTTTCAGGGTCCGTCACCAAATATGGATATCTCAAAATAGTACAAAGGGGGGACCCTTTGGGTCGGCAGGGGGTCAAATCACCCTTCGCCCATTTAATCCGCCCAGGAGTCGTATCATATTAAAACAATTACCTTTCATTTAAGGCTAGGATAAAATAAAAAGAAAAAAACGCCTCAGTGCCGCCGATTAATGTAACAAAAAGTTCTGTGATGATGACAGAACTGCACCCGGCTAGTCGTGCTGGATGGTACCGCGACAACTCCTCGCAACAGTGGCAGCTCGCAAAATTTTAGGGAATCGTCAACTCAGAAATAAGTGCAACCTAAGACTAATTTAACGCCCTTCGTTCTAATGAAGCACACAACGCATTGGGTCGATTGTGGCGGTCAGTATTTTTCTTTTTCGACTGTCGTTTATTTCGAGTTGTAGTGTAATGTTATAATTATATATAACATGATATAAATGTTTTGTGATCTCGAGATCTGCCTGCTTGAATTGGTTTAGTTCTGAGACCTTTTTGTGGGCTGTGGTTAAAAAGTGGTTGACTTCTGGAATCCAGTAAGATTGCACGTTTGAGAAGGTTTCCGTGGCTGCTTGTTGGATGCAGCTTTGCATCAGTTTGTTTTTGGTTGCTTGCCTCGAGGGTTCACTATAGAACTTGCTAGATAGACGCGAAGAACTGACCAGTTTAACTGAAAAAAAAAACTCTCTTTAAAACGTGTCAGCGTGAACAGCTGAACAAATTTTCATAACATTTCTAACATGCAAATTGCCGTGTGAACAATCTTTGAATATCTCTGTTTTGTAATTTAACAAGGGGGGGAACTGGAAAAGAGCCTCTCTTTTTTTCAGTAGTGAATCCAAAATGTTCTCGAGGTTGGATACAAAAAATGTGTTGACCATTCCGCCCCTTCTTTTGTTTAGGTTTCCTTATGAATTTCCCAAAGTTTTAGCGACAACTCATTTGTAGCAAAAACAAGTCATTGTTTTTTTTTTAGTTTTTAAAGCGTATTCAATCATGGACGAATGTAGGAGCTCAGCAAGTGGAGCTTTCAGTTTTTTAGGAGCTTTCAGTTTTTTAGCACCAAAAGCAGTTTTGGAAAAACAGTAGGGTAGATTGGCCAAAGCATTTATTACAAAACCAAATGGGAAGACTAAACCAAATGGGTGCCTTCCACCCAATCCCCCCCCCCCCCCCCCCACCGCCTAAACGTTTTCGTATCTAGTGCAAAAAGAATGAAAACGTCTCTTTGCAACGAAGCAAGGCAGATTCTTTCATTTCAAACTGATCCTTTAAAGTTAATTTGATATTATAATAGGTTCTACTGTTCTGGCATATTCTGACAGAAGACTGGTTGAGCAAAAATTTCCGTTCGATTAACGTCTTTCGAATAGTTGACAAATTTGCCAAATTTTCCAGATTTTTTTTTTCAGATTCTTTGAATTGTCAATTCTGATAGGCTAATATTTGGGGGCATTAGATCCTTCTCGCATGGGGATACTCTATTTGACTTTTCAGACCAACAGGCCGAACGACCAATGAGCCGAAAGTCAGAATGCCATTCCAACATGCTGAAAATTGGTATTGTTTTGCAACATAACAACAGATTATTACGACTGCTGTTACGCAATTGTTGCATAACTCTGACGTAATTTTGACTACACGATTAGTGTCTGATGTTGAAAGTTGGCCTTTTTGAGAGATTAAGTTGATGACTGACTGTTTTCGTATCGGCTGCTTGGGCTTGCGAGGGCGAAGCAGACGAGGATGACACTGGCATCTGTGTACTGGATGGGTCTCAGTCTGGCATACTCCTGCTGTCCGGCTGTGTCCTCTATCACCAACTCACACCTCTTCCCCTTGTACTGGATCACCCGAGTGTACCTAGGCAACAACAAATCCAATTTCACTCAACTCAGCCAAAAACAAATGAGCCAAAATATCCAGACATATCAGCCATAGACAATTCAACATAGCTTTTGTTTCGAGTCAAAATAGAAAAACACTCAAGTCATGGCGAAGTGCTGATCAAGATCAAAATCATTCGGAAGATTGGTTCATGCAAATAAATTGACTTGTAGTGAAGATAAGTCTGTAAAAATGATTACTTCATTTTAAAAACAAAGCACAATAAAAACGTGTTTTTTTTTCGTGGGTAGAACGAAGTTTTTTTGCCAAAAAGTCGAATCAGCTGGAAAACCTGAAAAGAAAGTTCAATAGCTACACAAGCTCTAAATTACTTTTAGTTTTACCGATTAGAAAAAACTTAACTGCTCGTATGAAGAAAAATCTGCTGTATCTTTCTACTGCCCTTAAAAATGACGGAGAAGTTTTGGGTGGCAAAAGTGATGAAAGAATTGAAGAAAAAAAACAAAAAAAATCGTTATATGGTGCTGATTGAAACTATACAGATAAAACGATTACAAAAATGCAAAACTTCAAAGACGTTTTTCTCAAATTGGACGAAAGATTGGATGAACTTCAAAGGCGTTTTTCAAAGATTAGACAAAAATTGAATGGAAGTAAAATTGCTTAGAATTTCACCAGAATTATCAGTGCAAGTTTGGATTCAAAATGTAACACCAAAATGGGTCTTTTTTTGGTTTTTTCAAGTACTCAAAATTTGCTCTGAAATGACCAATTGAATTGATGAAATTTTTATTTCAAAAGAAGCGCCTCTTATGCGGACCAAAAAAATCTAGAAGGTTTCTAAATAACTTTCTTATACTAACCAAATTGAAATTTTGGAACCACTTAACTTAAAAAAAAACTGCAGCAGGAAAAAATTATGTTTTTTTTTGAGTTCGTGGCATCAATAAACATTAAAGCTTGAAATAACGAGTGAAAAAATCAAAAATGAAGAATTTAGCGTTTAAAACAGCTAATTAAAAAGTCGAAAGCTTTCCGGAGAAAAAAACACACCGAGAACAAGTATTCCAGCCCTTTCTTCGAAATTCAGAACAACAAGCAGTGCTAATTGATTATTGTTTGATTCGAAAAAAATAAACGAGGCATGACAATGCATCGGACTGCACGCAGTTCTACCTCCGCGAGTGTTGATTTTGACATAAGTGACATAATTTATCAAATGGCATTGGCGCTATAAAGAGTTGGCTTGCCCGGAAAGATCTCTACGAGCGGCTCAAAAAAATAGTCCTGAGATAGCTCTTATTTTGCTAAACGGCCCTGTTTTTACCGGGTTGAAGATTCAACTGGACTGTATTTAGGAACTGCAAGTGAACTACAATTTGATAGATCAGCTGAGCGTTGAAAACCAATCACCGAAATTTTTCTCAATTTTTGTCCATTATTGAAGAATTTATTGGAAAACTTGGTAAAATCATTTCAAGAACATCAAAAATTTGTATACAGTACAGGATAATTCCCAAAATCTAGAAGACAAAATCAAGGATCGCAAAGTGTCTTTTAAACCTTTCTCAGCAGGGAAGGTTCTAGGGTTTTCTCGAGGGGGTCGGATTTTTTTTAGGTCAACCGATGTAATCTTTCGAGCTCTCCCAGAGCACTAAAAAGTCCCTATTTTGGCCAAATTTTCTGCGCCACAGGTAAAATTAATAAAAAAGTTCGAAAAAGACTTTTTTAGAAACTTTTTGGAAAATTTTGAGCAAACAATTGCGTTTTTTTGTCGCGCGCTCCCCCCTCAAAATTAGTATATATTAGCGCCGAAATTTTAAGAAAAATTTTAAGAAAATTTTATGGATCCATCAGCCAAAAATGGATATCTCAAATTAGTAAAAAGGTGGGACGCTTTGGGTGGGCAGGAGGTCAAATCCGTGCGAGAAGGCGTCCGCCCCCATCCCCCTAAAATTCCTAGCTCTAAAAGTATTTGGAAAATCATACGTGCTCAGTAAAAAAAGAAAAAGATAGATTATAATATATTTTTTTGTTAGTCTCCATAATTTTCAAAAAAAATGATTAAAATCGATTAAAGAAGGATTATAATATTACTAACTTTCGAAGCAAAAAAATCATTCAAATGGATCATAATCGAAGTATTTTTCTCAAACGTTATTGAATTATAACCCATTATAATGGATTATAACTCATTATTTATCAACCAACGTCATCGCTTCATTCCGTTTTATTTTGTTTTGTTTTCTGCGCTTTTCAGTTGGTAACCGAACTAAAATAAACTGTAGTTTTTTTTCTTAGTGCTCAAATTTTAATTAATTTGATTTTTTGGGGTTTTTCATGCAGAAAAGCTAAATTGTAACTCATTATGATTTTTTGTAAGACAATGTGTTGATTGAAAAAGAGATTCTAAACTATTACAATAGATTATAAGAGATTATAGATTTTCGGAAAAATTACAATTAGGTATAATTGATTATATTTTATTATAATGCTATCATTATAATGGATTATAAATTGCTTAAACATCTGAAATCGGCGCTTATTAATTATTATAATTTGTTAAAAGTACAATTATAATTTTCATATAATCGATTTTTTTCTCTTTTTACTGAGTGCAGGTATTCTCAATTATGATTAATTTCCTTAATTAACTTTCCTATCTTCCTCAATTTAACCTTGATAATAGTATTGGTATTTCTGATGTGTGTTTATTTTGTGCTGTCTTTGATGAATTTTTCAAGAATCTTCATCATCTTGGTTAGATTGCCAAAATGTTTGAACCTTGGAAAACTAATGTTAAATTTTTTCTGTTGTCTTTTTTGGCTTGATTTATGCTTTGCTGCGAGGGTTAATTTTTTGAACACTCAAGCTTTAGAGTGGCGTCGAATTGACTTTGAACTGCAAGTTTCTAGTACTTGTTGGTCCGAATTTTTCAAATATCTTCCCAATTCTTCATAAGTTTGCTTTTATTATATGCAGATCAAATTTTTTGATAAAAAAAAACGCTACATAGATAAACAATTTAATCTTTTTTGAGCTACTGTACTGTTTATGACGTGAATGAAAAAAAAACGTATGATTGATCCAAACATACTTTTATGGTCGTAATAAAAGATCTGGTGAACAAGTCTTGAAATAGTAATCAGTGAGGATTTTGAAAAGAAAATTAAAAAATTTCCCAAAAACGCAGAGTTTTCAAAATATGTAAACATTAATTAGGTACTCTAATTACAAATTACGGTTAATAATAATTAACTTTTATAAGTTATGATAAGGTACTAATTATAGTTAGGTATACAATAAGTTAGCAGTGTGGACACTCACCTGTCGTACATGGTGGGTTCGCTGTAGGGGTCGAATCTGTTCTCAACCAGACGTTTGATCAAACAAGTCTTCCCCACCCCCGCGTCCCCCACAAACACCAGCTTAATCTTCTCCACCAGAAGAGTACCACCATCCATCTTAAACTAGACTCAAAATAAACGGCCTTGAGTCGCGAAAATATACAGCTTCACTACAAAACAACTCAGTCTGGAATGTGGGCAAATAGCAGAAACGGACTACAGGATTGGACAGGCCTTATAGTCTTTCAATTATCCTCTGCGAATCGCAGAAACCTCAATTATTGTAACTAATATTATGTTCCAGTTGTCAAAAAAATAGTCGACTTGAAAAAATAATGATTTGAACTTTTGCGGTAAGCTCTAGGGAGAAACAATTGAGTAATATACTCTTGAGACAATTACAGATCAGAGATTTATCTTCATCCAGTTTTGTTAAAATAACGGCGATGAATGATGGTGCAACAATGTTTTCAATCAAGCAAAGTATTATTCGAGACTAGTTCACGATTTAAAAAAAAATCTTTGTTCGTTAAATGTTCGAACAATGTATGGCGTAATAACTTAGCAAAAAATTAAAACTTATGATTTGTCGAGGCCGATAAAAATAACTCTTGTTGAAATGAGTATGAGTTTTTTAAATTAAGTATTTAGAGCTGGCAGTTTATATCATTGTAAATGATTGCTATGCTGTTTTAAAGCAAATGCAGACGTAGTTTTTCACGATCAGAATTAATACGTTGAGAAGCTTATAGCTAATTCATGAAACTAATTTTATGTGTCTAATCAACCAAAGCACTTTTATTGTGATAAAAATCATGCCATAAGAAAAATAAACTAAAAACAAAACACAAATATCACAGAATGTTTTGGCCGGAAATGCTGAGAAAAAAATCCTTTTTTTTTTTCAACCCGCATTTTACAAAACGATTTTTAAGCATACCAAAAGTCTTTTGACTTCTTTTAATTTTGAGCAGAACTCATTCTGAAAGATATAATTTTTGCTAATTTTTTCGCTCTTTTCCGACAAGTATTTAACAATTCTGAAGACTTTCATCTCTTTTCCGACAAAGCTTTAACTTGATTAAAGAATTGGCTTTGGAGCCCAGGCACATACAGACACAAAAATTTTGCGCCTATCCAGTGCACAGTTTGGCCTCGTAATGTTGATACATTTGAGTCTAAATAGTGTGAAATTTCCTCCCAATTTTTCACCCAGTTTCGAGAATAGTTTGGAAAACATTTAAACATTGTACTTTATGACGAACAAATTTTGATAAGAATTCTACCATTTGTTTGTGGAACAATTTTTTTGTTCATAAAAAAATGTATAACAAGCGTTTCCACCTCACAAAAAAAAGATCCAAACCCTTTAATTTTTTTTCAAGGAATTTGGGATTCTTTTGTTTGCCGTTTTGGTTGAATGAGAGCTCAAATTTATCTTTTTCGCATATTTCATTTTTATTTTCTAATCTGTCAAAACTGTATGATTTTTGCTTTAAAAAACTCCAAAAATTGGAAAAAGGTATTGCTAAATCAATTTTCCGCTCCAATAAATCACTGCCTTAATGATGTATTAATGAGACGGATCCCAATAATACATCAATTCTACAAAAATTTTGGGGTGAACCGTATTGATATTCTTTTTGGAATTTTATTTCAAAATAAATAGAAAAAAGTTAAATCAGAAGAAAACTGGTAGTTTTCTTTGCTTATGAGAAAAATATTTATCTTGCAATTGCTTTTACGGAAACCAAGCTGGTCATATTATTCCATAAGAAGAAAAAACGTTGGTAAATCTATTTTGAACAATTTGTTCTTCTTTTGACTTGCACTCAAATGTATGACTCAACCTTTAATTTAAGTCTAATGGTTAGCAATTTTATCAAGCCGGAAGCGCAAAAAATTCCTTTTCTTTTTAAAATCATAATCTGCTGAAACCAGTTCCCCGCAGCCATTTCATTTTAAGAAACTGGGAGAGCAAAATATTCAAGTTACCATTTTTGGTGACATTTGAAGGCTGAGCAATACCCTCTTGTCGTGGACAAGGTTTCTGCATTTGAGCATAAGCATCATTGATATAATTAGATGATGCAACGAATGATCTTGAAAAGAGAAGGGAATTTTGTATTCTTGATTTTTTTGTAGTAGCTTCTTCAGCACTGAGTAGTATATGTTGAAACAGTTCAGCCCGGGGAGGGGGTGCTGACCTCCATGTATAAACATAGGCTATAGAGCATCCAGTCAGCACCCTATGTATTAACATAGGCTACAGATTTCCCAATGTATTAAGATAGGGATTACGTTTCCCAATGTATTAAGATAGCAGGTTTCAGCTGGTAAGTTTCAGATGGTAAGTCTTTTTCGGCGCCCGAATTTCCCATGTATAGCGTATAGATTTCCCTGTGTATAAGAAATTTATTGTAGGGAATTAAGAATTCATTAGGATAGAGAACAGGATTCCTAATGTATTACGATGGTAAGGTTTCAGATGGTAAGATGGTAAGTTTCAAAAAAGTTTTGCCACCCGATTTTGTGCTGATATTCCAGATTCTAAATTTTTTCTTACTTAAAAGTAATACTTTGTTACCCAAATGAAGCGTTTCAACAAATTTTTTTTTGGAAAAAACGGTTAAATACAGAGAACATTTATTAACTTACAGCATCGTATACAATTTTATTACATATCTCTTACAAATTTAGAGGTTTAGTATGTATTCTATCAAATTCAACTTCCCGTTTAGGGTAAAAATTGCTCAGTCCTTTTTTTGTTCATAAGTTGCGACTGCATGGATAATCGTTTTAAATCCTCTGTTAGTTGACTTCAAATTCACTGCCTCATCCAGTACTTGTCGATACTTTGCCATCGGGCCATCTCCAGAGTCTTCTAATGCGCGTTTGTTCAGACGTTTACTGTTAACTTTATACTTTTGACTTTTACTATCGTAACAGCAATAAGTTTTACTACAGAATCGTAACATTTTAGTGCATCTGAACTCCTCGTTGAACAATCCTGTTTTTCGCATCTGCTCTGAAATCGTCTCCACAATCCTTGCTTCGCTTTTCAGTCCATTCTACTCGCTTGCTGGCAAAGATTTTTTCATCTAAATCTTCTTCTGCCAGGGCCAAATAGAGGAAATCTGTATTCATTTCGAGCTCTTCGAATTTGTTGTTATCGCAAAATTTATCGAAAAAGTTATAATTCAGCTCCAACATTCTCAACTTGGCATGCTGTAGTATAAAGAATCGTACTATAATTGGTTCACGATGCTCTATAGTAGATTTAACAAAATCCACTTCAAACAAATCTTTAGCTACGATATTAAGTCTCTTGAAGAATTAGTTATTGTTAACTTTGTAGGTTTTTTTGTCTTCAAAATATTTTGTCATTGTATGTTTTGAGCTGTCCATTATTTGATAGCCATCGGTACCATTTTCTAGAAGTTTCATTGTTTCGGCTACTACGCCAGATAATGGGTTTTCATCACCGGCTCGCCTAGCATCAACAACAGACTGAACAAAACTGTTGAATACTTTACGCGGTGTGTATTGTACCAATAGATGAATATTTGTACACTGTTGACCAAGATCCAAATAAAAGTTGAAAAGTTGAAAAGATAAATGTTCCGTTGGTTAACTTGAAGCTCAATATCAACCTTCATTGCGGTTGTTTTAACAAATCGTTTTCTTCCGCATACGTCTTCATATAATCCCCAATATCGTTTCTGGTAACATCAATATTTTTGAAAATAGTTGGGAAATTGGAAAACTTTGCTATTAGCTCATCTGGAACACTCAGATCGCATGGCACGAATGTTTTGCACAAGTGAATAGGCAGAAAGGTTTCTTTTGAAGGGAAAGTGAGTTCTTCACGTCTGTCTTGTTTTTAAACTGATCCCACCAACTACATTCCCACATTTCTTCTATAGAGTATCCATTTTCTCGAATGTATTATTTTCGAAGCTCATCCACTTCTCTTTTTTTTGGTTCCTTGTTTGATATCATCATCAGTTAGGAGCGGTCTAATTTCTTGAGGGCAAAAATGGAAAGAACAGCCCATTGCTTTAAAGACAGTCTTAAAATGGTTGCAATAACCGCCAGCGTTAAAGCAATTTTTTTTTGTGTGTTCCTGTAGTGTAGTAACTCTCAGTTTTGCATTCAGGTCTGGTTGCTTGAAAGTGTGGCATGACCATATTTTCAAACGTTCAAACTCGATTTTGCCTAGCCTTGAGTTTTTGTTTTTCTTCATAGTAGTCCCATCTTGTATACAAGCCAGTGGGCATATCCTGACACATGGAAAAAAGAAAGAGTTGACTAGCATCAATAGCAACGATTGATTTACACAAGTTGTTTGATTTTCGAATAAACGTTTCGTTTGCTACTGATTACCTTGACAACTGATTACCTTGACAACTGATTACCCAAACAATTGAGGGGCTACCGGTCATATCTTCCCAAATTTTTTCAAACACTTCACTATCACTCGAAACGAATGGGTAAAATCTTATATTCGGTTGACTTGTGTGAACAGAATTTTGCTAATTTCGGCCATTTGCAGCCGAGTTTTAACATGTATATCCCTTTTTCATGATAAAATTCAATCATTTTCTGCATAGTATCAAGGGCAGGAGCAACATTCTTGTTGTTATACCACTGTAGAAAATCTCGATATGTTGACATCTGTTCCTGTTTCCAGATACATTTCAAGTAGTTGTAGTTTTCCAATCCAGTTAGTGGTTTGGTTTTGAGCCCGAATTTTTTCAAGGCTTTCTTTTCAGTTAATCCAGTATTGAAAAGCTTCTGAAAATTGCTACACTCTTTATCGAGAGGGCTGCTTTTCTTCAGTTTGCTGTGGAAGTCATCATACGAGGGTAGTTGTTGTTAATCAAGCTTGTTGGGAGTAACAAACCCTTCGTATGCAAAGTGTTCTTTCATCTCACTGGCTTTGTTAGCTTTTAGAAAAGAGTCTAAAGTGATAGCTCTACCCAAAAACTTCATAATGTCCAGAAGCTGAACATCTCCAAATCTGGAGGCAACAAAGTCGTTTGCTTTCTTGATAATTGAGGGTCGATTTTCTTTATCGTTGATAAAGTAGGGAACGAGGTATGATTTAATGAGGTTTATATCATACCGACCACTGGTGAATCCAAATACTGGTAGAGTATTGGTGTATCTCTCTAGATGTTGCATCAAATCAATCATTTGATTTTTTTGAATCCTGAGAAAGTGAGTGGATGCGTTTGTTTCTTCCTCTTCCTCAATAAATTCATCTTCGTACTCTTTGCTTCACTCTTACGGAAACTGCCTCGTTCATTAGGGATGCTAAAAATCTTGTGTAGCCGCTTTTTGATGTTATTTTCAATTTCCAGAAACTT